TACATTTTTAAAAATGTACAAAACTAAATATCCTACAGTATTTTAAATAAATTTAAAATTTAAAAGGAATGTTTATCATATAAATCTAATGTTTCAACTAATCAGGGATCCCTTTAAAACAGCTGCTGTGGTTTTAGACATCTGAAGGATGGAACATAATTGTTTTTCCACTCTCACCTGAATAATATACAGTATATAACCCATTTAAAACCATGAATCAGGTAAAAACTCTTGGAAACCATAAATCCACTTGTGGACATCACCTGTACAAAGATTCATGATGCTAAAATGAACTGGAGCAAAGTTACAGAGGTTTTAATAAAGAAATAATTTAGTGTTTWGTCATTCTGCACAGGACAGACCATGATAGTTCCATTAATAAATGTTAAGAAATCTGAAGTTTTTACATCCAAAAGTTATTTATTTTTCTTACCTGCCTTAAAAGACTTTTTATTAAATGTTTGATCGTGTGAAAAATCATCCAAACATTTATTAGTCACCATCTATATAAAATAATGAGGAATTATATTTGACTTCAGTTGGATCACATTCACTCTAAATCAAGTAACAAAAAATTTCAACACTTGACATGTTTAGGTATCTACTTTGACTTGTTTTAAAAACAATAACGTCAAAAATTTTTCCTTTATAGATTTGTTTTAACCTATTTACAGATTTGTTTTAACGTATTTACAGATTTGTTTTAACGTATTCACAGATTTAACGTATTCACAGATTTAACGTATTCACAGATTTGTTTTAACGTATTCACAGATTTAACGTATTTACAGATTTGATTTAACGTATTCACAGATTTGTTTTAACGTATTCACATATTTGTTTCAACGTATTCACAGATTTGTTTTAACGTATTCACAGATTTAACGTATTTACAGATTTGATTTAACGTATTCACAGATTTGTTTTAACGTATTCACAGATTTGTTTTAACGTATTCACAGATTTGTTTTAACGTATTCACAGATTTAACGTATTTACAGATTTGATTTAACGTATTTACAGATTTGATTTAATGTATTTACAGATTTGTTTTAACGTATTCACAGATTTAACGTATTCACAGATTTAACGTATTCACAGATTTAACGTATTTACAGATTTAACGTATTTACAGATTTGATTTAACGTATTTACAGACTTGTTTTAACGTATTTACAGATTTGTTTTAACGTATTCACAGATTTGTTTTAACGTATTCACAGATTTAATGTATTCACAGATTTAACGTATTTACAGATTTGATTTAACGTATTTACAGACTTGTTTTAACGTTTTTACAGATTTGTTTTAACGTATTCACAGATTTGTTTTAACGTATTCACAGATTTAACGTATTTACAGATTTGATTCAACGTATTTACAGATTTAACGTATTCACAGATTTGTTTTAACGTATTCAGATTTGTTTTAACGTATTCACAGATTTGTTTTAACGTATTCACAGATTTGTTTTAACGTATTCACAGATTTGATTTAACGTATTCACAGATTTGATTTAACGTATTTACAGATTTGTTTCAACGTATTTACAGATTTGTTTTAACGTATTTACAGATTTGTTTTAACGTATTCACAGATTTGTTTCAACGTATTTACAGATTTGATTTAACGTATTCACAGATTTGATTTAACGTATTTACAGATTTGATTTAACGTATTTACAGATTTGATTTAACATATTTACAGATTTGTTTTAACGTATTTACAGAATTGCAACAATCCCATTTTATACAGTTTGTTTACTTTCTGATTCAACTGCTTGTCATTTGAACTGTGTTTAGTAAAAATAGTTTCCATGAGCTTTTAGCCAAGATTCAGAGGTTTCTATTGATACCAAACATGTCCACCAGGCTCCACTGACAGATCTGAAGTTAAAAGAAATAGAAAAGAGAAAATGCTGTTATGCTTTTTTGGGCTATAGAGGTTCAGSATGAACATCCCACCTGGGAGAGTCCAGGCTGGAAGCCCTGCTGCTGGGCAATGGAAGGAGGAGCCAGACGAGGGTGGGRGGTACTGAAGAGGTGGCTAGTGTCCATGTAGAAGGCTGGAATCTGAGCTGCAGAACCTGAACAAACAATCAGAGACATATCCATGAAGAAAGATTCTGCTTTGGTTTGACAGTAAACAGCATGTTTTCTGCTTCACTAGACCAGAGATTCACAACCAGGGGTACGTGGACCCCTGGGGGTACACAAGCACATTACAGGGGGTATGTGGAAACGTATCCCAGGTGTGTAAAAAGCTAAATAAAAATAGGACTGAGATATATAGGGCCCTATGATTTCTACAATGTGGACATTACAACCAGAATCACAGAATTAACACCAAACAGAATCTAGTATAAAACACAGAATCTCACAGAATTTGCTCATTTGGAGTATTTGATGTATTTTGGATGCTGCTGCTTTTTCACCTGCCATTACCTGCTTTATTTATTTAATTACTTATTCACTTTCAAGGCAATGTTTTTATCTTTGTTTAATCTGAGTTGAAAAGAATTAAATGTCTGAGAATTAAACTTTCTAGGAGGTTAAATGTGACCCATCACATCCAAACCAGGATTAAGTCCAAAAGTGGAGAAACGGGCAGAAACAGGGTTTTTATTTAAACGTGAAAAAA